ACATCGGAAACTTTATAAAAATAATTGTTTTATATCCAGCTTTTATGGCGCAAGAAAGGGGAGCCGCGTCCGCCGCCGCGGTCTGCGCGCAACCCGCCAGAGCCCGGAGCGGTCCACTGGCTACTCCCGACCGAATAACCGACTCGTCGTCGTCGCGAACCTCGTTTAGTTGGAGGCGTGCGGGGGCGACGAGGCTGCCCCGGTTGGCGCGCGGCCACGCGCCACGCACCGTGGGGCCGCCACGCCACGCACAGGAGAACAACGCGGTGTGATTCGCGTCTCTCGCCCTCCAATTTGTGTGGAACTCTCCCCCTTCCCCCTTCGTGAGAGAGCGTGTCTGAGCGCCGTGGTGCGGCTGGCTAACCTGCCCCCTTCCCCGTCGACCCCCTGCTACGCTACGCCACGCGTGCCAATGTCCGCGCAATTTAATCTGATGTGCGCGCGGCGCTCGGTGGCGTGGGTGAAGCGCTTCGCGGGGAAGTCCGTCGCGAGCGCCGCCGCCGCTCGGGCCGCCCAAGTTCACCTCCAAATTAGCAGAGCCAAAGCTGGTCGCCGTCCAGTCCGGGCCGGTCGCTTATAGCGTCCGTAACGTTCTGCTCTCCTGCGCCCCCTACGCCAATTTTCCCGGCCCGGTCACCTGTTTTTTCCCAGCAGCCGGCGACGTTGACGATGACGGCGTGACGGTATAGGCCTATGGCCCGCTGCGGGGGCCACTTCGTCGTGACGCAACGCGTCTGTGACGGAACGGACGTCCCGCCGCCTTTCCTCCTGGCCTAGACACACACAGCAGTGGGCACTGACTGACACGCCCCTCTGATAAGGGGATGATTGCGGGCGAGGGGGAGCTCGCTCAAACAAAATGTGTACAATGATTTTTTGATTTTTGATTATTTTTGATTTTTTTGATTTTTGATTTTGATTTTTCTTTTGATTTTTCAGCTATAAAAAAGACAATAACAGTTAAATTTACAAAAACTTCGTGTTTTTTCTTGTTTTGTGCCCATTTTTCTCAGTTTTGGGGTCGTTTGTTCTCCATTTTTCGGATTTTTATGCAACTTCCCACTTGATTTTATTTTGATTTTTTTGATTTTTTTTTTGATTTTTTAAATGATTTTTTTGGGGTTGTACAATGATTTTTCGAAGTGACCCCCCCTCGATTGCGGGGAAACGTAAACTGCGCGTCTCTCTTTTAAAGTGGCGTCGTTGTGTTTTTTTGTTTTTTGTTTTTCATTTTGAGGACCATATGCATGCAATTGAATGATCTGATAACAACACGCATTATTTTTCTTGTCTTTACTTTTTTTTTGCACGAAATGAAAGATCGAGGGTGTGGTGTGGTCCGGGCGGGGTGCCGCCGTGGGCGAGCGCGGCGGGGAGGTCAATCACATCGGGCCACTCATAAGTCTGTGCCACGCCGTGCAGGCCTTGCTCCCGATACAACCCTCCCCTCCGCCACCCTCCCCTCCCCCTCCTCTCCCAACCCCGTCGCACGTGGGCGGTAATAAGACAGACGCGGGTCGTCGAGGGGAAGCTCCTCTCTCTCTCTGACTCCAGGCCGCTCCAGCCGCTTCCACCAGCAGCGCTCTACAGAGCAACAGCTGTGCGGGAAAAACCGCGAGCGCGCAAGCGCGCGCAGGCGAGTGGACTGGGTTGGATTGGAATTATCTTCACGTCAGAGACGCGCAGTTCAGCAGATTGTGACGCTCTCTCGCTTGCTCTCTTTCTCTCTAGTTCTCTCTATTTTGTGGCCGTATCGCTCATCGCGTCTCTCTCTCTCTGCCGCAGGTGGCCACCGCGCTGTTGGCGTGGTGCGCGGTCGACGGCCGTCCCCAGCCCGGCACCACCGGGGGGAAGCACAACGAGGACCTGGACGGCATCGGCGACGACCTGGAGGACTTCCTTAAGCACAAGGACCAGAACAACAACCACCGGCTCAGCGACACGCAGAACGTGTTCCAGCAGAACAGGAACACGTGAGTGACAGGGGGCACCTCGCACTGCGGGTGGCTCAGGTGGTTGGTGGGGTTGGTGTCGGTGGGTGGAGGTTGCAGCGGGTGGCGGTCGCGGCGATACACCGCCCGGTGCAAGCTGCAGAGCGCTGCAGACCGGCGGGTACTGCGAGTGCCGCGACGATACTCCATACGCTGGGCGGCCGCGGTGACGGTGATATTAGCTTTCTTTTCCAACTTCTTGATATTGTGGTTAAATTTATTGGAGTTTTTGAACACGGGAATTTTAAAAGTAAACCTCTATCTATGAATGTCGAATGCCTCGATCGCTATCGCCATATTCTTCGCCTCGAGCTTTTCCTCCAGCTTTTCGCGACCGCAAACTCTCGGCCTGTACTTGCCGAGGTAGCCGGAGGTTGCGGCGGTGGCGGTGCTTTCCCGGTGGACCGAGGGGGTGTCGAGCATGCGGAGAGGGTGCGCGGGCGTGGTGGTGCTGGCGAAGCTGGCTGGAGAGGTACTCCTCCAGGTCGACGCGGTCGTTCTCCAGGGTGTCACGTGACTGTTCCAGCTGGCAGCAGAAGCCGGGGTCGAAGAGGGGCGCGGCGGGTGCGCTGCAGCCACCGGCGCTGTCCGCCGCCGTGCTGAGCGCGCTGTGCGTCGTGCTGCTGGCACACTCTAGGAGCTAGCCGCGGCTAGATATGATAACCCCTGCAGGTAAACTCTCAGCCCGGCTGCAAATTTTATTTATAACACTATTCGGCTGGTTGTTGTGTTTTTTTTACTTCTCTATTTTATCACTATTTTTATTTGGCTTACCTTTGAAACGTTTTGTGTTTGGCGTGTTTTACCTTGGTTTTATCTAGTCTCTGTCCTATTTATTTTTCGTTTGGTCTTTATCAGTAGTGCTGATTTTTTACCTGCTCTTAATTAGTTTAATGTTCCATCCATGTCTTTAGTTGAATATTAGTTTTAAGAAGTGTTCGTTGTGTGTGCTTAAAACCCTTTAAGTCATATGTCATACCCAAATGACATTCACTTTGAAAGCCCTTTTACGGCGCATTTTCCCCGTAAATGATTTTTTGGAGCACGAACGCGTTCCTCGCCAGGCGCGCAACGATTTGAACTCCCCGCCGGAACTTCTGGCCCCACCCAGTGTTGACTATTTCCTGCCAAAAGTCACTAAATCGCACACCGCGTGCACGCGATCAGTTTGATGCGTTTCATGGCCTGGGAAAAGATCGAAAATATGTGCATGGGACAGGAAATGAAAGTTAAAGGCCTAAGGAACAAAATTGTGTTGCATACATGTGTGTGTGATATGTTTGGTGGCGCCCAGGGCTCAGCTTACAATGAACGTCCTTTGCATAGGACATGTGACTTGAGGGTTCCCGAAACTGCCCAAAATTCTCAGCTTCAATTATGACCGCGTTAAGCAACATATTTAGCCTAAATAAGTGGTTGTTGTGTTTGATATCATCAAATACGATTCAAAAACTTCCCGCCGATCGCTTTCACTTCAATTGTTTCGCGGGCGTCGAACGCGTCATCGTGACTGAACGAAGGTCTGTTGGCGCCGATGCGCCGGTAAGTTAGTTGATCTTCACTGCGGATCTATCCTATTTATGTCACCCAGAGTTTGTCCAAGTGATATGTACCTAAAATACTATGATATTGTGGGATCGCCTGTTCTTTTGAACCTCCGGGTGTCGTGGGAAACCGGGAAAATGAATGTACTATAGGAATGACATTGTGAGTCCCGAGTCTTGGGTTGAGCTTTCTCTGAATTCTTGTCAGAGAGGTGTTTAATCGCAGTTTTACGGTTAAAACGACTGTAAAACTGAAAAAATATGATTCTAGTGCTTCTGGAAGCTCATCACAGGGCCTAAAGTTGCATCTTTGGCCCCCTTCGTGTGTTAGGCGTTGTACAAAACTCTCTCTTTGTACTGGGTATACTCCCGAGAGGGGGCACGGGAAGTGCATTCTTTTGCCACCATCACCTTACTCTCGACAGCTGGTAGCCGCCCTCTCAACGTTGTTCAATATGTCTATTTCGCTGCCGAAGTCACAATGTCCTATACAAATGACGTTCATTTTTTTTGCTATTTGTATGCGTCTGTATGGTAGTATTAGGGTGAAATCAGACTTCTACCGCTTAAACCTATTATAAGTAACAGTTAGGAATGCACCCATGCCTATATGTACAAGGAAAATGTGAAAATGTGCCCGGCAAAGCGAAAAATATGATTTCGCTACCCCGAAGTCACAATGTCACTTACATATGACGTTCTGTTCCTAAGGCCCTGAGAGCCACATCCTTGGGCTAGCATTGATTTCCTCCGGGATTACGTCAGTTTAAACATTATTACGATAAACTTTTTACGGTGGGCAGGGGCATCTGAAAAATACGGCTACAGGAACGGTTTATGCAAAACCCTGGCCTATAATTCATGTTTTTAGGGAGGAATTTTTTTTCACACAGGTCTATCTTTTTCAGCCAAGACGCTTGGGATACAGATACACACTCACAGAAAATTTGAATTGTCTACCTCAAATATTTAAGAAATTATTTTTGACATGGTTGACCCCCTGGAGTCACATGTCCTTTATAAAGGACATACCTCTAGACGCTAAACCGGAAGTCAGATGAGGTCGGGACCACTAAAAATGGATCCGCCACCCTCAAATTAGTCAGGGCAGACTATAAAAAAAAATATTTTTCCACGGGAAATTTTCTGTGACTTAAAGGGTTAACCATTGGTTTTGATTATCACATTTTCTGATCGTCCTCGTCCTCACGGCTTGGCAGTGCACCTACCTGAAATCTGCGATTTGTTGTCGTTCACATCTGTCTTCATTCGGGTACATGCGGAAATCTGGTGACCTAAATGCCCGCTAACTTAGAGGCTTTTTTTGAAATTTTCTTTGATGGCTGATCGTCCAGTATAAGTACGTCCGTTTTTCTCAGATTAACTTCATTTCGTCAATTACGGGAGCTTGGCGCCTGCGGGACTCAGGGTAGGCCACGCCACAGCACACGCATGCACTGCAGACAGTATATTGCCTACCTACCAGGCGCTATGAGAGCCTGCATCGACTGACCCTCAGGGGGCTCACAGGCTAAATTTGAAAGTTTCGCACGGGAAAATTACGGACGTACAATCTGGTTGATCTCTAAAGTGTGCCCATTAACTATTAACTCGGTCCCCCTTTTTGCCATCATTTGAGTATTCTTTATTGCTAATGTAGCTAGTATTGTAATACGTATCTGCTTTCAACCCGATTTTGTGTTTCGCTTTGTCTCGTGTAACATTTCGGTAGCTTGTCTGTGTTACAGTGGTGATTGGCTTGACTCGGCAGATTACTAACCCTTCATCTGGACACATTTTGTGACATACATTCTTCAATTGTTGTCGTTTAATCACTCTGCCCACGCGCAAAGCCTTGCGTACTTACCGCTCTTGCCTGCCTATTGGTACTCCTGCTCGCCGACGCCCACACCGGGAGTGCGCCCCTCACGCGGACCGTTTGTGTTTGCAGGAAGAAGCCCTCGTCATCGTCGGGCTCGGACCTCCTGTCGGACCTGCTCAAGTTCGGCCAGGGCGGCGGTGGCAGCCTGAGCTCGCTGGGCTCGCTCGGCGGCCTGAGCAGGCCGTCCAACCCGTCCAGCAGCGTGCAGTACCCGTCCAGGCCCGCCCAGGCCAGCGCCCCGGCCAGTCCGCAGTACCCCGCCAGGCCCGCCCCCGCCAGCCCCAGCCGGCCCGCCTCCGTGCCATCCTACCCCAGCTACCCCACCGGAGCCGGCTCGGGCGGCAATCGCGGCGGCTCGCTGTACCCCCAGGTGCCCCAGGTCCCCGCCGGCGGCGGGTGGGTCGCCCCCAGCAGCGGCGGCAGCTCGGCCCCCAGGTACCCCAGCTACCCGAGCTACCCCGCGCCCGCGTCCAACTACCCCAGCTACCCGTCGTACACCAACTACCAGCGCGGCAGCCCTAACCCGTACCCCGGCTACCAGCAGCCCGCATACCAGCAACCGGCGTACCAGCAGCCGGCCGCTTATCCCGGCTACCAGCAGACCTACCCCGGCTACCAAACCGTGCAACGTTACGACCCTCGCAACCCCCCGCCACCCCAGAAGAAGGAGTCCTCCAGTGTCACCAAGAGCGTGTCCAACTTCTTCAAAAAGATCTTCTCTTAGGCGCCTGACTGGTAGTGTAGAGATGTGGGCCTACTAACCGGTGACTGCAATTTTTTTTTTTTTTTGCATACTGTGAGAACGAAATCAATTATGTGTGACCCACCCTCTGCCGACGGGGATTTTGAACACTCTCTTGCCAAAGACCGCAATATTTTCTTGATCTTGGCAATATAAAAAGTTTTAAGGTTCTTCCATGTTCCTGTCGTTTTTGTTACGTTTTTTTTTGTTATGTGATGGATCTGCGTGTTGTCATTACGTTCCATGGGTCATGATTGCAATCATGGCTTTCTGCGAATTGTTTTTAGAAAGGTGTTACCTCGGTTACCTCCCATGTAGCTCTGATTTGATGTTCCTTCTCTCTTATCTTTCTTATTGTAAGTTGTCATTGTTCTCTCCATGGATAATTGAAATAAATGTTAAGGCTTATATTCAGGCGTGAAGTATTCATCTTGCCATAGCATATATATTAGTTTGGGTTACGAAAATATTTGCATTTAAAGACTATACTCTGTCTGTGCTTTCCTTTCTTCCGACACGTCAAAACTTTTATTGTTTTTTGAGTCGAGCTTGTTTTGTGATATTTTGATAATCAAAACCAGACTTGTAAAAAGATGTCCAACGACATTCGTGACAAGCGACGAACACGTGCTTTACGCTAGGTGCGCTCATTTGCGAAAGGCGAATGGAGTTTTGGTCGAGCGGTTAGCACGCTGATTGTTATGTTGTATTGTATTTTAATTTGTACACAAAAATAAAGTTTTTAAAAAAATCCTCGCGTTTTTTGGAGTCCCAGCGCGTATGCTTATACGTGAAAACTCTCATGCCAAAAAGTCCCGATGAGCATGAGCAGTCAGGAAGATGACTCAGGTCGGGTCCAGGGATGCTGAACACCTCGCCTCTGGCGTTCCCACCGGTACGCGGCTGCGTGCTCACATGTCTCCCGTCTCTTTTTCACGAGGATGACCGCGACCGTGGCATTCGCGTGACGCTCGACTTTTGTTTTCAAACGCAACCGCCCGGCTGACGACCGCGACGACGACGACGGCGGTTCGCGGCAGCAGGTTGACCAGCGCAGCATGCTAATTGAATTCGCAAAGGTTGGAGACTCGTGTGCTCCCGAAGACGCAGGGCGGTGGGACGATGAGTCCTTCGGGCGTTGTGGGCGCCAATCAGGAACACGAAAGGGAGGCGCCAAGGCCCATTACCGCCCCGAGGAGGCAGGCGCCCTTCCGACCTCCACTACTCGCCGGCCCGAAAGAAGAAGCACTCGCGGGGCTGCTCCCTCTCCCGGACTCTGGACATTCCTCGGGCGTCACTAAGCAAATACGGTTCTCCGCTGGAGGCGGCCGTCTTGCTGAAAGAAAAACAAAATGATCGCAATAACAATGGACAAAAATTTTAGATTTTTTTTTTTGTAAAATCTGAAGAAAGACGAATATTATTCTCTGATATTTTTTACAACTTGTTATCTGGAAGACCACTTCCATCATGAAGCTGTTGCAGAAAACTTGCGATTGCACATTAAACACGTGACAATGACTCTGACATGTTTGGAAAATGTCCATTTCGTTGACCGATTATCGCATACGTGTGTGGATGAGGTGGCGCGGGATGGCCCAGGACGGTCCTCGTGTGCTAGCCGACGACTCGTCAGACGGCCCCCGGGGAAGGGGGATGGAGGGGAGGGGGGTCCTTGTGTACACCTCGGGGGGCAGCAGGAGCTGGTCGCATATAAGTGTGTACCCGGGGCCGCCGGGGGTCCATACGTCGCTTCCCTTCCGAGCTGGTGACAACGACTCGACTTGAACCATGCAGGTGAGGAGGAGGAAGCATATACCAGCGCAGCGCAGACCAGGACGACTAGTTGTGTGTGAAGTGCCTAAAGACGCGCCGGTGAACGACGTGTCGTTGTGAAGTGTGCCCTAATGGTGTGAGGGGGTGACCGGCACCGCGGCCGCACCCGAGTGTGTTTCTTCGCCGTGGATCGGACGGAGTTTCCGCGCTCCTCGCCGGGGCGTGGGGCGGCGGGGTCGGACCGGGCGTCGTTGGACGCGGGCATTCCACCGCGACGCACACGGCGCTGCGACGCCCACGTCGCCCACGACGGCGCCGGCCCCGCACCGGCACCGGCCGACTGGCACGCCAGCGGCGCCCACCACGTCTACAACGGCGCGGGGTTTTTGTTTTCAAACTGCGCGCGCGAGCGGCAAGCTGTTGGCGTCGGCGCCGCAGGACAGGCATGCCTGGCGGGGCGGCCTACCCGGAGCTCTTCAGGCTGAGGCGGCCGTGGCCGGTGTGCGTCGGCGAGGCGACGGGCAAGGCCTGGAGCATGGAAGTAGAGCAGCCTGGAGTCTCTCCAGCGCGGGGTAGCTCGTGCGATCTCCCTCCCACGCGGAGACTTCTCGTCGCTGGCGGTCGCAGCCGGAGGCACAACACCAAACAAGGAGAACCGTCACTCGATCTCATGGCCAGGGCCCTCATAAGTTGCTCTGGCCTTTCGGGGATCGCGGTGTACTCGGACGGCCACTTGAAGTGATACTCGTGTGATCCTGAACCGGTCCGGATGGTGCAGCTGTGCGGAGGATGTTTCTGACCAGATTGTATTGCAGGTCCTGAAGGCCCTCTTCCTGGGGGTGTTGCTGCCCGCCGTGCTGTGCGCGCCGCAGCCCGACCAGCGCGTCGTGTCCCTGGAGGACGTGACCGGCACCACCGCGCGCTCGCCCATCGCTGCTGCAGCGGTGGCGGCCCTCGGCGCCACGAACATTGGCTACGACCAGAACGGCTACAAGCCCGCGCAGGGTGGCGGCATCGTCTCCCTGGAGGACGTCACCGGACAGGTGGATGAGACTGTGCCCGTCTTCGGCCACCCTCTCCCCAACCTGGTGCCGCCCCAGCAGCGACCACAGCACCCGGGTCAGCAGCAGGGTGGCGTCGTCTCCCTGGAAGACGTCACCGGCCAGTTGGACCAGACTGTGCCCATCGGCCACCCCCTCCCTCTGTTGCCGCCCCAGCCTCGTCCACCTCACCCACTGCGCCCGGGTCAGCAGGGCGGCGTCGTGTCCCTAGAGGACGTCACCGGGCACGTGGACCAGACCGTGCCCGTCAACCGTCCGTTCGCGCAGCGTCAACCCGGCCCGCTGTATCCCGCTCAGCAGGGCGGCTTTGATGGACCCGTCAGGCCACACCGACCTGGTGGTCACCCTTACCGGGGCCAGTACGAGCAGACCTCCGTCGTCTGCGTGGAGCAGAACGCCCGCCCGTACGACGCAAGCGTCCCCTTCGGCGGCTACGTCTCCCGCCCCAACACCTGGGTGAGTGACGACGGGGAGTAGCTCCGCGGCGACACCCCGCGCCAGAGGGACCCTGGCGGGCGCGGGGTATAACGCCCAGCCGCGGTTTTCGCCCACTAAAACGCCTGTGTGTCTGTCCCATTCGCAGTACGACAACGAGGTGCCCCAGCACGACGCCGTCGGCAGCCCCAGGCCGCCCCGGGCCCTGAGCCGCTCGCGCCGCTCCCCGAAGCCCATCGGCGTCGTCTCCCTGGAGAACGTCGCGGGCCCCGTCGCCGCGCACTACCCGGCCTACGGACCGCCGGCCTACGTCCGGCCCAACTACTACAACAACTACTACAACGGCGGCTACAATGGCGGCTACTACGGCGGCTACTACAATCGGCCGCGGCCCTACGTGTACGCCGTGCCGTGCATAGGTACGTGTCGCTAGCGCTAACCGCCTGAGGGACAGCTAACATTCTCTTCCACGCCCTGCCTTGATTGCTGCGAAATGTGCCGCCTGGAGTTGAGGGCAACAAACAAAAAATTGGAGATGAAAATTGTTTTGGGGGTTGGAAAGGAAGAGAATGTCTTTGCTGTCCCAGGAGGCGTACCCATCTCTGACGAACCACTCGGGCGCAGGCCTCTTCTGCCTGTGATCGACGCGACGACGGCGACCTGGACCGCGCCCGCGCCGGCGGACCACGCGCGACGACCCGGAGGCGCCAGCGAGAGGCTGGAGGAGGAGTACTACACGGACTACGTGCCACGGGAGTTCATTCGACGATGACGACGACCTGACGACGACCACGCCAGGACCACCACGATACATTGACATGACGGCAGAGTAATTGTAATTATTTGTTATTATTTTTGTAATAAAAACGAAAAAAACAAAGAATTCGCTCTCGTGTCTTTTCCCAAAATAACAAAACGTTCCCTCCCCCGCCGGGGTTTGTGGGCAACCCATCCGCCTCCCGCGTTGCTTAGGCTGCGCTTGTTTCGCGCTCCAGCCGGGCGTGGCGGGGTGGGGCGGGACGGGTAGGGGTGGGGCGGGGAGTGACGGACTGCCACAGACACACATCGCCCCACCGCGTCGTTTGCTCGCCAGCCCATAGGCCCGGGCCCGAATATTAAGCCCGCGGTTCATCGGCCACACACGCGTTTCAGGAAAAGCGCAGCACTAAAAACAAATAAACGTTTTATTATTAATAAAATAGTTTGGTCTCCAAACGCAGGCGGACGCACGAGCACCCATGCACCTACCACGCACGCACGTATACTCACTACACACTTAGTTGAACACACACGGGGGGAAGGGTAAGGGATGCGGGAAGGGGGAACTCTGCATCTTGAAGCGCGTTGGTCCTGCGCCCGCCTCCTGCACACACACTCACACTCACACACACACACACACACACACACACACACACACAAGAGCACATACGTAAGCACCAGCAGATGCGCATGAAAGAGGTGCTGACGTGGGGGGGGGGGGAGAGAAATATTCCCCTCGGTGCGATGACTCCTTGGATTTACTTGTCAAAACGGGGGACGAACAAAGAATGAGAGGACGAGATTTTCCTCTCACCTTGAATCGCTGCGACTCTACTGGTACATACTGCGCCTGTGTTTGTGGTGTGCGGTGCGTGTAAGTATAGCTCTCATTGCGGTCGTTTTTTCCCCAACTTTTCACTTTGTCGCCGTGTGAGTCAGCCGGTGGAATCGGCCGGCCGGCCGGCAGGTGGGCCGTGGGCCGGTTGAAGACGGTCCACACGTGCAGCAGGCCCGTGAGCCCTGCACCGCGCCCCGCCACGCCCCGCCACGCCTCGCCACGTCCCGCCACGCCCCGCCACGCCCCGCCACGCCCCGCCACGCCTCGCCTCGCCTCGCCTCGCCCCGCCACGAACCGCCACGCCACGCCACACACCGCGGGGCGCGGCGCGCAAGTTCACGGTCAGGGGCGTGGGCGGTGGTGCGCTGCACTGCCGGGGAAGACCATAGGGGGTGTCTCACCCGACAAAACCTCATAGACGTATTGTAAAAAATAATTTATAAAAAAAACATACACACGAAATTCTTACTATTTTGTTGATTTTCACAAAAATTCTGGCAAAATAGCTACCACTGGAACACTTTTCAGGCTGTGTCCGCACAAAGTGGAACTCACACACGTAAAGCGTTAGTCACATAATAGAAGACACTTATAATGAATAACACAAAAATAAAACCGTTGATGATAACGAGTCACCCCAGAGGCGGTGGAAGAAGTATCGCTTCCGCCGAGACGGAGAGAAAGTCTTTTCGATGTCGCGTTTCGGACAAAACAAAGCGCCTGGGGGGAGGATTCGTTGACGGCGCTGACAGGCGCGAGGACGTCGGACACCACCGCCGCCACGGACTCACCTGTTCATCGTTGGGGCGACTGACTTGAAAACCCGCAGACCGCAACCCCTTTTTCAGATGTTTTTCTTTTTCGAGCGGACTAAACGTATCAGCCCAAAATCATCTTTGAATAATCTCTGTGCCGAGGTCACGCACTGCACGGGTGTACCGACAATTACAGCCTGGGGTAGGGGAGGTCTCGAGATGCTGCTGCTGCTGCTGCTGCTGTCGCCGCTGGCTGGAGCTCCCCCGGCCCGACCCGGCCACCGCTCCGCACCGGTGCGGTATGCGAGCGGCCTGCGCTTGGCCGCGCGGCCCTCCACGACGGCGACCACAGCGACACAGGGCCGACTGCTTTTCTTCTGAGAAATACACATTGTGACCATCTTCGCACCAAATTATTACAAAATCCCTCGACACACTCGCGACTAAGGAAAAGAGATGTGTGTGTGTGTGTGTG